TTTTAAGGCCTAGAAAATGTGCATTATCCAGTAAAGTACTTCAAATAAACATTAATTATATTTATATCAGTAAAGTCTCATGTGATATGTCAGTACTTACGTTAATGGGATGGGTTTGTAGTATACTTATTACTTAGTATGAAATGTTTTTTTAAATACATTTTGGTAAAAAAAAAAAATCTCTAGGGTAGTGAGTGACCCCACTTTTGGAGATTTTTTCAATTAAACGCTTTATTACTGAGATATTGCTTAGGTTTCAGGATAAACCACTTCACCATTTGTCAGCTTTATTTCTTGCATGTCCTATAATATTTTTTAAATAATAAAGACCACAAAAATGGAGATTTGTGCCATGTAAGCAGCATTCTACATTTACTTTGTGTTCTGTGCAAAATGAATGAGGTGTGATTACTTTTTTTCAGGAGGCGTTTGTGGCCACATTCCCCCAAATTTACTGTAAAGTCCATTTCTAGCCTGTCGTGTCAAACATTTTTTATACAAATTAATACCACTTACAGTATAAATGGTGATATATGCTGTTCCTTTCTGTGTGCTTGTGCAATCTGTAGAATGGATTTAAATATAGTAAAATGGATGTAAGAAAGTACTATTGACACCTGAAAGCATAAACACAATATAGCCATAATAATAATTTATATTTGTTTTAATTAGGCGAGATTGCAATTGAACTTGACAGCCAATGATCACTATGTATTTTTGTTTAGTGGAAAAGAGCAGTTTTGACATTTTGTGTTCCACAAGAAAAAAGGGTTTGGAGTGACTTTTGTTTTTTTGAACACGTTAAAAAAGACAACAGCAAAAACTGAATAAAATAAATAAATAGATAAACAATCAAAAACAACAAAAAATAAAATAAAAAAGATCATCTACAGATGGTCCAAATAACAATCATGTTCAAAGGGGGTAGGAAGAAGTTAGAAAAACTTTTCTTGTCCTATCCCCACTTCACTGATTTATAAACTCTCTAACTTACTTAAGGTTAACTTAATAAAGATTAAAAAAAAGAAAATCGCTATTCCAGCTCATAAGGATTATTTTTTTTAAACATATATTTCATTTGCAATAGGTTTTTACATAATTTTAAATCATTGTTGCTGCTGTTCCACAGTATATCCCTGGGTTGTGTTGTGCGAATCAGCGGTCTACTAAACATTGATATTCCTCTGTGTTTATTGGAAAAGCTCTTGGATATTTCTAGGTAATTGGTTGTTGTGAGCTCTAAAAACAATTTGAATAATTTTATAATCGAATCAGATCTTTGAACTTTAATATTTTGAGTTTAATGAACAATGGGTTTGTTGGTTCTCTGTATAGTTTTATGTATGATTTGAATAGCCCTTTTTTGTAAGATGAAGATATGTATTTGTTTTATAAGTATTCCCCCATACTTCCACACAATAAGTCATGTATGGGAGTATGAAGGAGCAGTACAACATATTTAGAGAAGCCTGATTCAATAAGTCTTTAGCTTTATTTAATATTGCCAATGACTTGGATATTTTGGTTTTAATATAGTTTATGTGAAGTTTCCAGCTTAATTTGTTATCAATAACTACCCCGAGGAATTTTATCTCAAATACTCGCTCTAGTTCTATACCATTTATCATTAGTTTCTTATCTGTGTCAGTTGATCGGTGCTTGAGTGTGGCTAGATTATTTTCAGACTAGAGCAAATGATCTGTGAGTGTGAAAACTCCCATCAGACCGATCAAATTATGTAATTTTCATTCAATTATATTTAACAGTTCTATCTCCTGGCTGAAAAACTGTGCTAATTAGCAAATCCAGGTGATTGGAACAAAATACCGAGGAGGACTTTAACTTTCTGAACCTGGACTTTACACCTCTGGCTATAGGTCACTTTGGATTAGAAGTTTGTCTATAAGACCAAAGTAAATGGAGAAGTCTTTTCTGGTCTCTTCTTGCTTTATTTGGCTCTCAGGACTCATGTCAGCACTTAGTCTGGATCTCAGAGAAGAGGAAGAGAGCTTGTCTTGTGACAATATCCACAATGAAATAATCTTGCTGCTCTGTGACATTCTCATATGCATTTGTTTGAAACATATTTGTATATTTCTAAAAACGACCTCAAGGGAGGAAGTCCGGATTTTCCTGATACAAGTAGGAGATTGTAGCTTTTTATTAAAAATTGCTGTGAGAAAACAACTTTAAGAGAAGTAGGCCTGTGAGAAACGTTTTTACCATCAGGGGTTGTGTAACAGCTGATTCTGTGGTAAAATCTTGGTTACTAAAAGAAAACAGCAACTAACTGAACAAAGATGTTTCAACAGAGAACCGAATTATGTCACAGATGGAAGCAAAGTTGCTGATGGATTCATAACATTTTTTTTTTGTTTTGTTTTTTTCGATGGAATAACAATCTCATGAATGGGAATAAGGAGTCATTCCAAATAGACTATATGGCAATGACAGCTTGGGTTTTAGGTGGGTTTTTGATCCCGTATCTGATGGTCAGATTGGCTTTTCATCTGAAGTTCATCTCATTTTCACGAATCATAATTCCTAAATTGTGTAAAGGTATAGACTAAGTATGTCACACCATTTAAACCCATTAGAATACAAAGCATGTATGTGTCTGTAAAAAAGTGTTTAAAGTGACGTTAAAATGAAATTAAATATGAAAGTTATCTATAAATGCAAATATATACACACATGTTATGTTATGGGGACATTCCATAGACATAGTGATTTTTGTTACTTGTTTTTTGACACATTTTTGATGATTGTGTATATCCCTTAACACCAAACCTACCCATCACAGAAAACTTTCTGCATTTTTAGGTCATTTTTATTTATTTTTGATTAAAAAGCTGAGCAATTTCCAAGGCTATTTATTTAGAGCAAGAGGAAGAGCAAGTTAGTATATTTTGTTCAGTGTTGTTTAAATAAGCAGTAGAAATGCAGTGTGTGTGAACCACTGGTGCTCCCTCAGAAAAAAAATGCACTGTTCATCTTTTTGGGTGTTATCTTCCCTAATAAGAAAAAGAGAGTAAGAAGGAGAGAGAAACTATGAGTAAACATGTGACAGCATAAAAACTGCTATCCCCTGTCTTTTTCTTTGCTTAGAAATGTTTCTCTGCTGTAGTTTCTATTACATCATTGAAAATAGGCAACTTCTCTGAAAGATTTACAGATTTCACCTGAGGCAGGTACTGTTTGCACTTGGTAGCACAGGGGAAACTATAATAACACATAATGTACAATAATCAGAAATGATGACCTATCAGAGTAAATGCATCTACCTCATAAGCTAATATTAACCCAATTACCTCATGATGACCAAACCTAATATCTTAATGGAATAACAACTTAAAGCATGGTTTTGCACTGATTACTGTCGTTGGTAAAGCCAGGGGATTTATACTGATTGACTTGGTGTTGATTATTTACTTTTCATAACCATATGTGCAACCAGTTTCTGCTATGAGAGATTAATCTGTCTGTTTCTTGGAAAGTATTTGGAAGTCATCTCTGACTGCAGGCCCTGCCCAGTTTAGACAGAAGTTTATCTGTAAGTTTGTTATTTCATTTATACTATCTTGCCACACTGAAAAAAAAAACAATAAATAACAATAATTTTCTTTGCCAAGTGTTTACACGTCTATTATAAAAAGTAAATTTCACACACATATTTTTTAAGTAAATTCCACATATGGAACTCTACTAAACTCTACTTAACTAATTTAAGTTAAAGTATCTAAGAAAATAAGTCATTTTAACTTGGCTAGTAAAAGGTTGAGTAATATCTATTTAGTTATTCCTTAGCAATTCATTTCACTCAAACAATATAACATTGAATTAAACCACACTTTTAAAGAATATGCTTTACTTAGAAACATCTAATTAATACAATAGATATTGTGTGAGACACCATATCTATATTTCAAAAGCTACAATATGTGAACCATGGTAGACAATACACAATGACGATAACATTTGATGGATCGTTTTTTTGTGTTTGAATGTGTTATTTTGAGTAGAAAATAAACTCCAAATGTCACAAAATGGCAAGTTACTGATCCTAACAACAAAAGCAATGATAAAACAGTGTAAATACAGCTGGAAAACAGTTAAAAAATGATGGGAACACCAGTATCAGAAAAGTTGAGAGTAATTTTACTTAATTTTATAGCGTTGATATTTACGCTTTCAGTTCTACACGCTTGAATTGAGTACTAATATAGAATTTGTAAATTATATTGTTTGTTTGTTTTTTTCTGTAGTATTTACTTCACCACAAAATCATTTTTTAAGTGAACGGTATACGTTATGATCGGTAAGGGACGACAGTGGTGCAAAGTTTTGCTTTCAAAAAGATTATGAATTAAACTTACCTGATACCAAATGCTACTAAGTTATCAATCTAGATAGATTTCCAAGACCATTATTGGAATGACTGAATGCTTATAATGATTTTTTACAAGTTTATTTTTAATGCACTTTATGGTTTTGGTTTCAGATAGATTTCCAACCAAGACCATTATTGGAATGACTGAATGCTTATAATGATTTTTACAAGTTTATTTTTAATGCACTTTATGGTTTTGGTTTCATTTTTAGTTAAAATAAACTAAGCTGTTTTCATTACTGCATGCTATTGCACTATTAAAATGGCTCCTCAGTCGGGTTTTTTTTCACACCAGATACCACATGGTGTGAAAAAAGGACATTGTAATTTGCACAATTAAATATTGTGTTGAATCTACTTCTTGAATTAAATGTATGTTTAGCAATCACTTATCTTTGAAGACAGATAAAATGGCCAACGGTTGCTCTTGGCCAACCAAGAGCAACATGTGTCAAGATATAAATAGGGGCAAATGATAATTTCATGTGAAGACAAGACAAGATCTAAAGATCAAAGGAGATCTTTTAACTTGATTGCAAAGTGTCCAGAAGGACAATGCTAATCTAATTCTCTTCCCCTCTTTCTCACTCTCTGTCCGTCTCTCTCCCAGTCCTGGCGAAAGCGATGGTTTGTATTGCGGAGGGGTCGGATGAGCGGGAATCCTGACGTTTTGGAATATTACCGTAGCAAGAGCTCCCGTAAACCAATCAGAACCATCGACCTGCAGGAGTGTGAGGTCACCATCGAGGCAGAGGTACGGCCCACTAAACGTCAGTACCAAAATCAGCACCTATTTGTGGTCAAGACCACCACGCGCATCTTTTACCTGCTGGCCAAAACAATAGAAGAGATGAACATCTGGGTACAGAACATTGGACAGATATGTACGTTTGGAGGACTGAACAGACATGCAGGTGAGGCGTTTTATTATAAACGTGTAATTTTTGTTTTTAGGCCTTGGACAGCTTAGTTTCACATGCTCACAGTTACCTTTTTCATGATTCGCAGCTTCTGATAATGTCAGAATTTGTTGACTTTTTGGGTCTTATGACGAACCAATAGGAGCACAGAAAGAGAGGAGAGACATGTTGATACGTTGATATAGCTTGACTCTTTACTGTAATACGTTGCATAAATATCTTATTTGTTTTCCCTTTACATTATCATCAAAATTACCTGAATATTTTACTGAAGAATGAGCAGTTCATGGCCTATTTTGTCTGAGCGCTACTTTCACAATTACTTGCAGAGTGTCCAGTCTGTTATAAATTATAACAAAATACAATTTATTATTAAATTAAATAAATAAATAAAATAATGCTCACCAAGGCTGCATTTGTTTGATCAAAAATACAGTTTAAAACAATAATATTGTGAAGTATTGTTCTATTTTTTTATTTCTATAACGGGAATGCTGATTTTTTTAGCATCATTACTACAGTTTTCAGTGTTACATGATCCTTCAAAATCATTTTAATATGCTGATTTGCTGCTCAAGAAACATTTCTTATTATTATCGATGTTGAAAATAGTTGTGCTGCTCAATATTTTTGTGAAAACCGTAATACATTTTATTTTATATATATATATATATATATATTTGGACCAGTTGAATGCATCTTTGCTAAATAAAAGTAACAAATTCTTTTAAAAAAATCTTACGGAGCTCAAACTTCTGAAAAGTAATGTAAATATGCACTACATGAATTAGAATAAATAAATAAAAATCATTTGTACATCAAGAAGTGACAGGTAATGAAACAATATCAGGTGAGGCATCAACAAAGAGGTATACGTGAAAAATATATCATCAATATATCAAGGTCCAGAGAAGAAAACCACCTCAAAATTAAAATTCTAGTAAAAAATATATTGCAGTATGCAGTAAACACACCGGTAATAAATACATTCTGTATGTGCGTGGGTTTATGAGAAAGGAAAGTGCTATAGATGAGCTGAAACAGGAAAAACCCTTGTACGTAAAAAGCCTCCTAAAAACAACCCTTCCATCACATCAGATCCCTCCATTAACCTAAAGATTCATAATCCTCTGACTCCAGTTTTGAAATGAATAAACTTAGACTGGGAAATAATTAGCCATGTTTCCTCCAGAGAGAGATGCTGAGACTGAGAGATGCGGACAGAATCCGTGAGAGAAGGACGCTGTAAAATAGGCGAGGTCTTATTTTAATATTCTGTTCCATTCCTCCATCTTTCTTCCTCTCTTCCGAATAGTCTGCAGAGCAACAGCTGCGTCACCGAGGAACGTTAAGACACACACACGTCTGTCATAATGTAGACAGCTCACAAGTATGTGGCATCTCATATCTTTAACTAATAATAGCAAACAGCTAGCATCATGATCTGCGTCCACAGCACATATGACTGCTATTATGGCGAGAAAATGTGTTTTTATTAAAGCTGGCACAATAATTAGCCTAAGACGGAGGGGGAATGTTAGCAGTTAGCATATAGGCTACCAAACGCAGAGAGTGAGAGAAACCTCAAGTTACACATTACTTGGAAAAATACAAAAAGATGAGTAATGCAGTACCCAAGAAGTTTTCAGACACACACGCACTTGGTTACTGTTTAACACACAACACACTGGATGGATGGACACGCCTCTAAACTGGTAAAGGCTGATTGTGAAAGATAGTATACAGAACAACATGCACGTCCATGCCCTTTTCTCCACACACACGCACAGATGAAAAAGGCTTAATTCGTTTCATTCTTTGCGTTGCTTACGTCTCTGATGACTATCAGACATATTGTTGAATCAGCGAGTGTAGTTTCGGAGTCTCAGTCGCTGCTTAGTCGCTAACCTCATTACAAACCCCAGCAGGACTCCAGCCATGAACTGGAACTCAGCTTTTTATTTACAAACACACTTTTTTGCAGTGACACAGACAGACAAGAACAGTTTAGAGATTGTAGTCACACCTGGAGGGCCACGGTTTCAGATCCTGCTTCAGGCCATGTGTCAAGACACTCACTGGGGTCCTGTTAAACCAAGGCTTATTTGAACTTCTGTAAACTTAAATGTTGATCTCTGGCAGAGCCACAAGTTACAGTACATGGTTTTGTCTCTTCTCTCACTCTGAACTGTCACCATGCTTACTGTTTGTTTACTGTCTCTGTCTCGATAACAACTTCTCACTGTATCTCCACTGTCCCTCTGACCCATCATGACGACCACTCATTGTGTCTCCTCTGTCCGTATGACCATCACCTTGACGACCGCTCATTGAGTCTCCACTGTGCCTCTGACTCATCACCATGACAACCGCTCATTGTCTCCACTGTCCTTATGACCATCACCATGACAACTCCTCACAGTACCTCTACTCTCATTCTAAACCGTAACCATGACAACTGCTCATTGTGTCTCCACTGTGCCTCCCATCATCAACCACTCACTGTATTGCTACTCCCACTCTGACCTGTCACCGTGATGACCACTCATTTTATCTGTACTGTCCCACTGACCCATCACCATGACAACTGCTCATAGCTTTTATATGACGATTAATTATGATGAACAAGACACCCAAAGTACTTGTGTGATCGCACTTACAGAGAGACAGTTTGGGGATATTCACAATTAATTTATACACATAAAAATATGATATCAGAGTTTTAAAACCTGAGTGCAGAATTCGGCACAGCCACCTCACCATTGCTAGAGTTTTTTGAAACGAGAAGAAAGACATCAGATCAAGTCGGACCACACTCTGACACAATTCTAACTGGCATGCATCTTGCGGTGATCACTAGCAATCGTTTCTGGGCAGATTTTACTAATCTCAAACAAGCATCTTTTGGCAGTTTACTTTTTTCGACTCTCTGATTGGTGGAATTTTCTGTACAGCATTATGGGTAATGTAGTTTTTGCCATGAATTCTGATGTTAAACACGATTTTTTGTGTTGACAAAAGATGAATAATGGGGGCTAACAGCTTCAACAGAAGCAAATACTATCCAACATTTCCCTATGGCGAAAATGAAGTGAGTTTTTACTTAAGGAAACCCGGCTTTTGCTCTTTATTTCTATTCTCACTCTGACCCCATCACCATGACTACTGCTTATTGTATCTCTACTGTCCCTTTGACCCGATCACCATGACAGCTGCTCACAACAGCTCTGTTCTCCTGAATCCATTTACCACAGCAACCTAGGTCTGCAGGTGTAAAGCAGCTCTACATAATAATTAACGGCATCTCAATGCAACTGTATAAAAGAAGCTGCTCAAAAATGTTACACTTACTGTAAAAAAAAACTTGTTACGGGTTTATACATTTGAGTAAGATCTGCTAGATGTTTACAGTAAATATAAGAGAACAAAAATGAATACAACCACATGCCTTGTGTTCCTCAGATTTCTCATTTGAGTCATTGTCAGTTATTCAAGTGTTGGATACCCAATAGTAGGCTCTGCCAAAGACACAATGTTTATGTGAGCCCACACAATCCCCCTCAGATTAGCACGCTAGCTGCAACGTGATCAAAATGCCGGTTATCTACAACTGTTTACCCACAGCATTACTCACAATGACTTTCAAGCACCAGCAGGTTGAGTGTGATATCAGACGTTCAAACAGTGAGTCATCACTGGACAGCTCTTATTATGGACAATTAAAATGATTTGGATAATTTGAAACTGCCTATTTAATTAACCTGATCAACTATAATTCCCAAAATGAGAGATGTGTCACTCAGATTCTCACAGCACACACAGATATGAGCATGATGGAAGGCAAGCGGCACAAAACTTTCCACAATGACCTTTATCTAATTTGAACTCAGTTCCACCTTCCAAAATCGTTTTTTGCTTACTATTAAGAAGAAAAACGATTACACCCCCCAAAAAAAACCGACCGTGAACATTGTCATGTGTTTTCAGCGTGTGTAACAGGCTCACGTGTTTATATGGGGTTTAGAAATGTCTGGCCACTACTAATGCAATGTTGAGTCTAAACAGGAAGAGAAAGAGAAAGAGTGTGTGTGTGTGTGTGTTGTGGTGTGTGGGGGGCTGGAAGGGGTGATTTGGTCTGCCACCTTCTGGTAATTAAAAGCAAATGTACTTCAGAAATGAAATGTGTTAAATGTGTGTCATTTTTGGACATCCATAGTAAATTAATGTATCAAAGCTAATCTATTCATTTTTTATTTATTTTTTTGCTCTTTCTCTTTGACAGAATCAATGGACAGTCTAAATCGCACTCCCTCTTCCCAGCAGCCATCTCCAGCACTTTCTCCTCATGTTTCTCTTGTGGCCAATCAGGAAACAGTTACCATCGACAGCCAGACTGTCCTAAACAGGCCTAGCGAATCAGAGATCAGCCCTCCACTCGACTACCTCTTCCTCTCTCAGTGCGAAACCGGGACAAAGAGCATCGTCAGGCAAGGCCCACCTCACTTCTTATGATCACACATTGCAAAAATAATAATTACATGCTAATCGCAATACAGAATTGAGATTCATTCCATGTAGCGCCTGGCTATTTATAGTCTTTTTCTCTAATCAGATTTAATAAAGGTGACTGAGAGAATAAATGAGAAAAGAAAATCTCTCACGCTTTTCGCATCTGTGAAATCTTTTGATCTTGGTCACTGCAGCAGAACACACTGTGATTAGATTCAAATAAAATCTTCAGGGACCTGTATGCAAAGTAGGGACTTAATGGTTTTATAAGAATTCATAATGATTTTTGTAAGGCTGTTTTGTTTTGAATACTGAGGCGTCATTATGGGGGGGGTTAGCTGATTAATTAAATAACTACAGGTTTCTCTGAGCTACATTTCCATTAAAAAGTTTGGGGTTGGTACATTTTTTTAAAAGTTTCTTGAAAGATATCTTCTATGCTCACACTTGATTACAAATACAGGAGAATTCCATTCAATCACTCAAGCTTTATTAAGTAAGGTAGTTGTGGTTATATTTAGGTATGAGGTAGGGAGATCTAGAATATGTTCAATTCAGTTTATTTATATAGCCCTTTTTACAATACATATCATGTTAAAGCAGATTTACAGATAATGCACGCGTTTACAGTACAATTTAGAGTGATATACTATCAGAGGCAACTGTGTTCAAGTTGTAGATTTTAGAAAAGTACATATAGACCATTTCACAAGATGTAAACAACACTGGTCCAGAAACACTTCCTGTTTCAGTTTGTAACGCTTTTTCTTTATTTCACATGTAAAGAAAACATCTTAAAGATGTTTGTTTAACTTTTTGATTCAGTTTTAAATGTTCTGTTGGTTGTATTTTATCCCAGCTTTTATGTAGTGTTAAAAAACCGGAAGTGCTTCTGGACCAGTGTTGTTTACATCTTGTGAAATGGTCTATACAAATCACGCAATTAGCTAACAATGTATTAAAGGCAGAAAACAATGAGCTCATTGAAGTAATGAATACAAATACATGCTGTTAACAAATGATTAGGATACATACAAAATTCTTCATAAGAGGCTGGATACAAACTGGAGGTCTGACATGCTTTCTAGTTGCCTCAGGAAGGGCATCCCGAGATAAAAACAGAAAAGCAAATGTAAAATAACAAGCGTAGCTGCTGTTCGTAACTTTAAGCATATAATATGTGTATTTGATGGAGCATTTCGAGGAAAGTAATTCAAAGTTTTCTTATAACATTACTAAGTGGCAGCATATACAGTATATTGAAAAATAGCAGAGGGCCTAACACAGATCCTTGAGGTACTCCATAATTTACTGACGTTATTTTACATTTTTTTTCCTGTTTAAATAGACATGGTTAATTATATGTGTAAATACTAATAAACAGCTAATATGCTTGTAACATGAATGTGAATAAGCAACTACTTAATAGTGAATATGTGTTCCCTAATCTAAAGCGTTTAATTTCTTAAACTACAAAAAAAAAAAACCCGCCAAACTTGAACTGTACAGTATGTTCCAGGAAATTTGATAAAAGTTTTTAGTTAAAATTATACATTTCTATTATGTCATATACAGCTGAATTATGCACAATAAGACCAGGGAAGTCCAAAAATAATAAAAATTGGGTAAATTTGTATTTCATGTTTACCTTATTAAGACAACTTTTCTAATGTGAACCAGATGTGAGTGGCTCCAACACTTAAAGGGATACTCCACCCAAAAATGAAAATTCTGTCATCATTTACTCACCCTCAAGTTGTTGCAAACCTGTTTGAGTTTCTATCTTCTGCTGAACACACAGGAAGATATTTTGAAGAATGGTTGGAACCAAACAGTTGTTTGCCACCATTGACTCATAGTAGAAAAAAAAGATACTATGGAAGTCAATGGTGCCAAAGTTCCAATCGTTCTTCAAAATATCTTCCTTTGTGTTTAGTAGAAGAAGGAAACTCATACAGGTTTGCAACAACTTGAGTGAGCAACAACTTGAGGGTGAGTAAATGATGACAGACTTTTCATTTTTGGGTGGAGTATCCCTTTAAGCAAATGATGACTTTTTAAACTTGTGGCTTGTCTATTTCAATTTTTGTGTGTGTTGTCTTCCTAAGGCTTTACATGTAAAAGAGAATTTGGAATATGCAAATGTATGATGTCTAAATGAGCACTGATTCATCATCAGAGAAAGCATGTTTAAAAAAATAGTTTCATTATGACACAACAAACCATACATTTTCCATATGCTTTCTCTGAAGAAAGTTTTTTTTTCCATTGAAGAGTTTCGTCAACAGTTATTATTTTGAATAACATTTAGTTGAATAAACTAAAATTGTTTGCTTATTTCTTATGCATTTACAGTATGTGTGTTTGTCCTTCCCTATAGGTGTGACAGCTTCTCTAACTCCGAACGCTCCTTTGAGCAGAGCTCGTCCGAGTACACAGAGGATTTGTTTAGCCCCACCCCTCGCATTGACTCCTCCCCCTCCCCTTTCCTTTTGGCCGGGGTGTCCGAACCCCCGTTCAGCGCTCCCTGTGGTCCGCTCTCTCTCTCCTCCTCACTTTCGTCCTGCCTCTCATCTCCCATCTCTCTACGCCGTCCACCAGACATTTTCAGATTTGATCGACCCTTCAGCGTGACATCCGACCCACAAACACCTCCTCCCCTCCCACCCAAACCTACACACCTGTCCGATCACCACAGTAACGAAGATACCGGCCGTAATCAGACGCAACCTGCTCTTCTCCCTCGCAGGACGTCACTTTCAGAAATAGACCACTTTAGGAGAGGTAAACACCTCACCGGCATTTTTCTTATTAAAACATTTCCAAAAAAGTATTATATATTTTATTATTATAATGTCTTTTTTCCAGTAGACTTAGACAGTGCTGGGAGAAACTGGAACAAACGTCTAAGCCTCAACCTGGTAAAGAAATATTCAAATATGAAGTAGTCAAATGAGCCTGGAGAAAGTTAAACATACACAGTAAATAAGCAACAATTTGAATATTCACTGTCATAAACCATATGTATCATAGTGTGTCTCTCTCTGTACCTCGGCTATTTCTAGCCGATATTTCTGAATACCACAGTTACTGAAAACCACTGTGAGGATTCATATGTGCCCATGGCCTCCCCACCAATCAGCTGCTCTAATGTCACTTCAGACGGCTACATACCCATGAGTCCCTCCAGCCTGCCTGTCTCCCTACTGACCAACTGCAAAACAGAGCTGCCATCGCCTTCCAATCCCGACTTTGAGCCTCCTCCAGTCGACCGCAACCTTAAACCAAAAAGACGGGGTAAATGTAGTAAAAGTTCATTCACAATCAAAGTAATGGTATTAAAAAAAAACCATTAAAAGTTGTATGATTGTTGAATTAGTATTCCATATCGTGACTTGTAGTCTGGCTATGTAAGATACATATATTCCTAACACGTACACATAAGATACATATATTCCTCATTAAACTCACACACCTACCACATGCTAAAAACAAATTGTACCAATGACTAATATCTAGTTAAAAACAGGATGTGATGTCATAGTTTTAGGAACTTGATTCCTTGTTCTATTTAAAGTTACAAGAGTGCACAAGTACACTCTTAAAAACTAACGGTTCCAAAAGGAAGTTTTCACATAAATGTCATAGAGTAACCATTTTGGGTTCCCTCAAAAACCCTTCAGTTCTTAAAGAACCAATTTTTCCACTATAAAGAACCTTTAGTGCAATGGAAAGCTCTTCATATTCTTCATGGAACCAATGCCAATAAAGAACCTTTTATTTTTAAGAATGTATTATTATGGAGCCCCCAAAGGAACATGTTGAAAGAAAAAAATATGAGATGCGAGGTAAAATAATTTGTCATTGCTTCTGCGTTCCCCCAAGAAACTTTCCGTTCACTCGTAAAATGTTTTGCGTTCCCCCGAAAAACTTTCCGTTCACTCGGAAAATGTTTTGCGTTCTCCCGGGAAACTTTCTATTCACTCGTAAAATGTTTTGCGTTCCCCCAGAAAACTTTCCGTTCACTCGTAAAATGTTTTGCGTTACCCAGGAAACTTTCTGTTCACTCGTAAATGTTTTGCATTCTCCCGGGAAACTTTCGTTTCACTCGTAAATGTTTTGCATTCTCCCGGGAAACTTTCGGTTCACTCGTAAAATGTTTTGCGTTCCCCGGGAAACTTTCTGTTCACTTGTAAAATGTTTTGCGTTCTCCCGGGAAACTTTCCGTTCACTTGTAAAATGTTTTGCGTTCTCCTGGGAAACATTCTGTTCACTCGTAAAATGTTTTGCGTTCTCCCGGGAAACTTTCCGTTCACTCGTAAATGTTTTGCGTTCTCCCGGGAAACTTTCTGTTCACGCATAAAATGTTTCGCGTTCTCCCGGGAAACTTTCCATTCACTCTTAAACTGTTTTGCGTTCTCCCGGGAAACTTTCCGTTCACTCGTAAAATGTTTTGTCTTCTCCCGGGAAACTTTTCCGAACACAAACATTTCGCGAACGCATGCAAAAGCATTGACAAATAATTTACCTTCCATCTAATTTGTTTCTTCAATGTGTACTTTTAGGGGGTCAGTATATTTTACAAAATAAGTGATGTGTATAGTGTGTTGTGTTAGCTGTAACTGCTGCCATGAAGCAATTTCACTCATTGGAATATCACGATTTCAGTTAAATACGTCAGAAAAAAATAGAGAAATGGAGATGTTCTCATGTGAGGGGAGGTACAGAAGAGTGACGCATGTTGAAAATGAATATGAGGAAGATGAGATGAGGCAGAGGCTCATGATCTGTGTATCACACAAACCACATTTCTATTTCAAGCTCTAAATTCAAGAGTTGTTTTACTAATGTAAATTGAAATTGAAATATCAAATTCTCAATTTTTGCAAATACTTTGAGGAAACTTTTCAGTAATTAAGGTTACCCTGATTTTCATTGTCATATAAATGTGCTAATTTAAAATCGGCAGAATCTGCCTTCCATACAAAGCCATAGCCGAATTAATGTGCAGTCACAAAAAAAGTTTCAATGTCAATTGACATGGACCACTCACGCAGTCACTTACAAACCAAACAGCTTTCTGTTGGAACTCAGTATGGAAGACTTTTGCATAATTCCCGGTTACTTGATTCCTATTTCCTATTTAAAATTACAGAATTTCGCCCACAAGAAGCGATTGAATTCAGTCAAGAAGTGATTTTACAACTGTGAGTGGCTTGGAGATGGCTCACGATTAAAAGTGTGGTCAAATTTACTGTTGTTCAGTGATTTAATTTTTTTATAGGGGGTCATTTTAAATTGGAATCCACGGAATTGGGAATTTTGGCAAAGACTTCCATAGTAGGTTCAAGTTAGTCATGCAAATTCGTCACATTGACCAACAGAAAGCTGTCTGCCATGAAAGTTACTTCTGCGTGAGAGGTGCTTCAGACAAGTTTGTGATGTTTATGAGTGACACACTTATGTTAATGTTAGTATTTGTTAAAAGAATTTCAATTATGTCACAATATTGAATATATATAATAGTGTGCACTGAGCAACGGACTGGTATTTTTGTATGTCATTGAATCGCTGCATGCTTTCTTTTCTAAGAAAGTCTTTGTGACGAATTTAAAATGACTTTTAAACTGAGAATGTAGGTTTGCCAAGACAAAAACACAAGAGAGGAAGTGCATGATACTGTCAGAGATGCAGATCAGGAACCACAGACAGCATTGTGTCTTGAGTGGAGGCACAGGGCTCCTATAGGTCATGCACCTTCACACAAAGGAAATGCTTCATTAAACTCAGTGAACGTGTGTTTGTGTGTGTTGTGTGTGGATGACAGAAAAAGATGAGGAGTGTTTGAGCGTTTTGCATTGTGTTTGGTTTCACAGTTCGACCGCCACCTTTAGACCTGTCCACCATTTCTGAATGTCCCTTCCACGTCCCCCTCACACGCACCATGACAGAACCCAGGTGAGATTTGCTCAACACTGAATTATGACAAACTCACATTTACAGATCAAAAGGACCTAGAACCCTCTGTGTCATTCTCTTCAGTATTTCTGTGTGTGTGCTAAATGTTAAACAAAGATATTGAGTTTGTCTTCCTCATGTCACCTGATCTCTATTTCCTGCATCTGCACAAGCATTTTCTCATTTACATGTTTGTGACACACTGATGTTTATGTAAGATATTGTTTTGTGTTTGTGTGTTTTGTCTCTAGCACCTCACTTCAGTGTGTTCCCTTGGACAGGCGGCGGGGATGGGGCTTAAACGGCTCTGAACAGGAAGGGAGCATCACGCCAACGGTAACGTGACTTCCAGTTTAAGCCATCCTTTCTCCTTAAAATTAGAAAGTGCAAGAGGGCAACAGAGGGAGAAAAACAAAAACAAAAGAATGATAAAAAGGCAAGAAAACAACAGTAAATCTCTGTAAATTAGGATTTTTTAGCATAGCGTGCATAGAAAAACTCAGCAGATAGTTAAGAAATGCAAACCATTAAATTATGTACATAATCATAATTTAAGAATAAGCATAAACATGTAAAATATAAAAAATATGTATAATGTATATACACTGTTATATGCAGTATACAACTTTGTCACTTTATACATAAATTCCATATATGTGTGTGTGTGTGTGTGTGTATGGTAAACACTCACCTAAAGGATTATTAGGAACACCATAGGCTACTAATACTGTGTTTGACCTCCTTTCACCTTCAGAACTGCCTTAATTCTACGTGGCATTGATTCAACAAGGTGCTGAAAGCATTATTTAGAAATGTTGGCCCATATTGATAGGATAGATTTGTGGGATGCACATCCAGGGCACGAAGCTCCCGTTCCACCACATCCCAAAGATGCTCTATTGGGTTGAGATCTGGTGACTCTGGGGGCCATTTTAGTACAGTGAACTCACTGTCATGTTCAAGAAACCAATTTGAAATGATTTGAGCGTTGTGGCATGGTGCATTATCCTGCTGGAAGTAGCCATCAGAGGATGGGCACATGGTGGCCAAAAAGGGATGGACATGCTCAGGTAGGCCGTGGCATTTAAGCAATGCCCATTTGGCAGTGTGGCACTAAGGGGCCTGAAGTGTGAACAGAAATCGAGACTCATCAGACCAGGCAACATTTTTCCAGTCTTCAACTGTCCAATTTTGGGTAGCTCTTGCAAATTGTAGCCTCTTTTTCCTATTTATAGTGGAGATGAGTGGTACCCGGTGGGGTCTTCTGCTGTTGTAGCCCATCCGCCTCAAGGTTGTGCGTGTTGTGGCTTCACAAATGCTTTGCTGCATACCTCGGTTGTAATGAGTGGTCATTTCAGTCAAAGTTGTTCTTTTTTGTTCAAAGTTGGCACCAACAACCATGCTCAAAATTGCTTAAATCACCTTTCCCATTCTGACATTCAGTTTGTTCAGGAGATTGTCTTGACCAGGACCACACCCCTAAATGCAGTGAAGCAACTGCCATGTGATTGGTTGATTAGATAATTGCTTTAATGAGAAATTGAACAGGTGTTCATAATAATCCTTTAGGTGAGTGTATATTCACACACACACACACACACACCATTCTAAAGTTTAGGGTAGTAAGACATTAAAATTACATTACCTTTTATTTATTAATACTTTTATTTAGCAAGGTTGTATTAAATTAATCAAAAGTGAGAATAAAGACATTAATGTTACAAAAAAATCTATTTTAACTCTTAAATTCTATTTTAACTCGTGTAATGTACTTTCTATTCATCAGCAAAACAAACAACAAAACTAAAATAAATGTTGTCTTTTTATTTACCAAACCTTAGAAAAAATATTGCAATTTCTACAAAAAGCAGCACAGTAATAACAGCAATAATAATAATAAATGTTTCTTAAGCAAATCATCATTAGAATGATTTCTGAAGGATCATGTGACACTAAAGACTGGAGTAATGATGCTGACATTTTTTTTGCCATCACAGGAATAAATTACGCTGTATCAAAATAGAAAAAATATTTGAAATGGTAGTAATTTTACAATATAAATGCAGCCTTGGTGATAGTTTTGAACACTATATATATATATATTATTGTTTTGTATTGTTATTATATATTGTGGGTTTATTTGTTTTTCCTTTGATTTGGACTCTCTGCAGATGCTGTTCACAGCTTGTGATTCTGCCCCCTGGATGAGGCCTTCTCAGCTGGATTACTTGTCACTTGACTTCAACTCTGCCTCCCCCTCACCAGTCCAGAAGGTCAGTGGTGGCCATGAGGTGAAAAAAAAAAGAACGTTTCAGAAATAAATCGCTTATAAGCATCTGAAGCATTCTCTACAAACACATATTTAGTGAGTGTGCATGGGGTTTTAGTGGGCACTGCTATCTGTTGTAGTAATCTTTTCTGTGGCTTTTTTAAACTGAATCTTCAGGCAACGATTACAGTGACTCACCATTTCCTGTCCCAGTGACAGTTGCTTTTTCACCACTCGGCTCTAAACACGACATGGCATACATCTGCCTGCAGGATTGATACAGTTCCACCGTGCTGGTTAGCCTACTGTTTTGAAGGTTTGCTCAAATCACGTTATTGATGTTTTCAGAAACCACTGCTGGCAGACGACTACAGGGTGGATTACGTGCAGGTAGACGAGAAGAAGACACAGGCTTTACAAAGCACCAAGATGGAGTGGAAGGATGTCCGTCAATCAAAAGCCTAAAGCCTTCCGAAGGGGGAGGAAATAGTCCATTTAAATTATTACTTGGTTCAAAACTTGACTTGTTTTCATCAATACAATTTCAGGTACATGTTGAGTTTTTTACACTGCTGTGAAAGGAGCCAGTACAGAGCTGGATAGGAAACCTTCAGAAATAAAATGGCAGAATATTTAGAAAATTATTCCAGAATAAAAGACCCACGATTCAAGAATAAAGCTGTTTACTTTGTAGTCCTTAAACCAGGAAGTGAATTAGCATTTTAGATTGGGTTTCCTCTGCATTTTATATGGGTTTTTAGAACAGTCTAAGTCTCTTATGCGCATTAAATGCTGCAAAATACAGTAAAAACATGTATATTGTAAAATATTTTAAAATATGATTTATTCCTGTGGTGGCAAAGCAGAATTTTCAGCAGCATTATTCCAATCTAAAGTGTCACATGATCCTTCAGAAATCATTTTAATATGCTGACTTGCTGCTCAAGAAACATTTATTATTATTTTCAATGCTGAAAATGATTATTTTTGTGAAAGCTTTTTTCAGGATTCTTTGATGAAAAGAAAGTTCTGTCACTTTAGAGGAAGTTAATGCATCCTTGCTGATTAAGTTCTTTAAAATAACATAGAAACTTCTAACCACAGACCTTAATTTATTTAACTGACTGAACAGCTCTTTTGAAATTTGTTTCTAAATCTAAATGGATTACGAAATGCTAACAGCTTGAATCTTATCTGAAAACATTGGTGACCAAAGCCTTAAGCTGAATTTACAGAAGTACAGACTTACTTCAGTAATTCTACAGAATATGAAGTTGTTTACCAATTAACACACACTCTGAGAATTTGCTTATCTTAAAGTACAGAGTGACTTTTTGCACTCCCTGGGACATTTACTTTGGAATAATTCCACAAATATACACACTGTTCGTTTTACATCACTGATGTATAAGGCTCAGATGTTACATTGCCTATCTGTGAATTCTGAAATAATGTTTTCATAGGTGTCATGAAGTCTTTAAGTGGATGTTCTGAATGTTTATGATGCGTACAATCACTTAAGCGTGTCACAGAAAAAGATGATGCCAATAAATGTGTCTCTTGCACTGATTTAAAAACACCCTTGAGACCATGTTTAACATGGACATGTGTGAGTGTCGGACCACTGTAAACCACTGAAACCACACACTGTGATTGGACGCTGAAACAAATCAATGAAGGATGTGAATGTTTTGTAGAAGCGAAATCTGCCTTTTTTTTTCTTTTTTTTTTAAGATTGAATGTTGAATGTTGAATATGTTAGACTACTGTCAAATTATTGACCTAACAGGGTTACGAAGGTCTGTCGACATTTATCGGAATGTATTTTTCCCATCAACCTGGTCCGGTTCACGATTATGAGGCATTACGAATGTATTTCTGTCTTGGGTTGTAGAATTTTAGTGCCATGTCATGCTGTGCTTATGACGCGGTTTTTGTTTTATGGTGTCAGATTTTACCTTTTGCTGTACTGAAAAAGAGCACAAAAATCTCATGGGGAAACTATCACTGTGACATCATCAGTTTCCTGCCAATCCTGATATTCTTCAGTGTATGCTTTATATCTCATGAAGAAATGTAATACGTGAGTGAGAGAGAGAGAGAGATATTTGTGTGTGTGTGTGTGTGTGTGTGTGTCTGTGTCTGAGATTTAGAGACCTTACTAACCTGTGTAAATGAATGGATGTTTATCCGTCCGCAGGTAAATTATTGTGATGCATATTGAACACAATAAAATCACTTTAAAACAATTCAGCTTAATAAACTGGAAAGAAAAAAACATCAATGACTCTGTTATTTTTAAATATATCATAAAATAGATATATTATACCATTGAAAAGAGGTCAATTCGATTTTTTTGTGTGTTTTAAATTATCCATGTCACATGATCCTTCAGAAATTTTTCTAATATGCTGATTTGGTGGTCAAGAAACATTTTGTAACAACATTATGAATGCTGAAAGCGGTTTTGCTGCTTAATATTTTTGTTGGAGGCAGATGGATAGGAATTACATTATAACATTCTTGCGTCAAAAACAAAATAAAAATTTTACTTACCCCAAATCTTTGAACATTATTGGATATCTATTTTGAATCAGTTTAATACAAATGGAAAAAAAAAATTTTTTCTTCAAATTAACCTATATATATAATTCCTTGGGAATTCATTTTACCCATTTATGTAGTAATTATTTGTAATACCCTCATTCTAACATTTTTTTTTTAATGTAACCAGCATTACTGTTTAGCAAACATGTAAAATCAAATAAAACCAGACGAAACAAGTATTCAGTTCAACTCTGTTTTCTCCATAATTAAGTTTATTATGAAATAATGATATAATGTTCTTATTTCAATCATATCACCGAATCAAAAATATTAAACTGTTATTTTCCTTTGTAACATAATAATAGTTTCATGTGGCACTTAGTACACACGTGTGACATATTTCTTCCATACTGTCCTCTTACATTTTTTTATGCCCTAAAAAGGTCTTTAACACTCCAGCAGAAGCTCTAAAATATAGAAAGAGGATCAACATGGAAAAAAAGAAAATCACACTATAATAGAATAAATAATGTTTTATAGCAATACTTTAAATATTGTGATTGGACTAAATACTATCCTTTGAAAGTTATCAGACAAAACCCGAATATACCATAAATTAAATTTCGCACAAGTCCCTTTAATTTGGGAAAAAATAAATATATATATATATACTGTATATATAGAGAGAGAACAAAAAAAACAACCAAAAAAAAAAGAAAAGAAAGGAAAAACTGAAACTCTATGTCATGCTAATCCTAGCAGCGATAACCAAATTTCACTGACTCAATTTTCGCCTGAGAAGTCACATGGCGGGGTACCAGCTCATGGGGTTGGCATTCGCACATGCCAATGCACCTGTTCGAGGAAAATTTGGCAACCAGACTATTTTGGCACATTAGACATGAATTGGCACGTCATTACGAGGTTGATCAGCAGGATTAAAGTCGTCCTGGTCCGAGTATCATTCCCTACAAAATGAAGACGGGCTCAGATTATTACTTTTTAGCAACTGATCAGCACTGATGATGGGAGAGAGGAAACAATGATAAAGCCAAGACCGAGAGCTCAGGATAAACAAGGCTCTGACGTAAACGCGCTACAGAGGTCCACTGCTCAGAGCAAAACAGTTCCTCCTTCAGGTTTCTCTGGTCTGTAGTTTTCTCAGGGTACCCAGAAGCTCCACCAAACCAAAACGACTTTAAGCTCGATCGATTGTAGGTTTCTCTGAATGTCAAAGTTGTTTCCGATATCTGCATTGATATTTGCAGATCGTGATCCACTGTTCTTTGAGACCCGTACGAATAGAATCACACAAATAAAAATACCTGCAATGAACCGAATCTCATGCAAAACAAACTAAAGAGTGCAGCAGGTTCCATCCAAGGAGAAATTGTCCAGGAATAAAATAAAATAAAAAAATCAGCTTCAGCTTTGACCAGACTCGAAACTGTCGGAAAAACACGTGATAATGTTGAGTATGAGATCGAGAGATAAAAGAGATTGGGTGAGAGAGAATGCCCCGAAAAGTCACAGTGCACGGAGGAACACCAGGGCGGCGCTAGAGAGAAAGAGTCATTACGGTGGTTTAGTGCTTCAAAAAGTGAAAATTCGCTTTTTGTCGATTTGTGTAGAGAAGAAGAAACCATAGGTGATTTTTCTTCTTCATAATTTAAAACCTCTCTAAAAAGAGAGTGCTGAGGGATAAAATGTGTATATTTTGTGTCTGTGTGTGTATGAATTTCTTTTCTGTGAATTCGAACATGTCGTGTGCAGAATTCAGTGCAGCCAGCCCGGCGAGGTGTCCCCGTAACCCCACTAAAAGAAATACGCCTGGTAAACCCCAGTGAAGCAAGGTCCGTCCTCTCTCCTGTAGTTTGTGTCGTGTCAGTCCTCCTCAAGTCCCACAGATGTATCTTAAGTAGAATAGTGCTTTTCCAAGTAAACAGAGGCCGGTGTATCCAACCCCTGGTAGGTGTGTGTTCTATTTTTTAAAGGGAGCTAACCGACTGAAGTTCTGCCAGAAGGGTGATGTGCTGCGTTTTGGCTCGTATTCATATCCATCCGCCTGCCCGTAGCCGTCAGGGAGGAGGTACTGCCCGGGGTTCATGGGGTCCAAAGGTGGTGGGTACGCTGGGGGGACCGACCGGCCCACACCTGAGAAGGAAAACAAAAAGCCTGATGCATAAACTCGAGGTTTATCTGTGGTAAAAAAAAAAAATCTGTGAAAACTGTATGAACTGTGTAACATCCACAGGCACCATTTACTACAAATATAATTTGCATTGATTTACTAGTATTTTCTCATTGGGACTTTTTCACCATGGTAACAGCAATACAAAAGACTACAGTATCATTTATTGGAAATGGACATTTTTTTATGCAAAAAATAAAGCTGTCTATGGCAACTAGGTTTGTTAATTGTTTCAACTATGTGATAGCTGGCATATAACAACCCGATAACAACCGGTAAAAACTGATAACACAGGCTCATCCGCTATAAGTCGGCTAGAAAAGTATTTGCTGAGCTAATCAAATATTACAACTCAAATCAATATTTTGAGTACAGTTATTTAATTGTCACATGGGTATCGATTCATACAAACGCAGCTGCTGCCATTATGTGACGATTGTTTTTTAAACTGTAATGGATTATAAGATAACAAACTGGTATGATTTTAAAAGTTTAATCGCAAATCATTATCTCTTGTCCCTATAATTACTTGTGTGGCGAAATGCCATGTAATAAGTGGTATGACTGTACCGTATCTCGTAAATGTCCGTCTAGTTTGAACTTGCCTTACTAGCAACTGCTTTCTAGACTTTTATTAAAGACTTAATAAAATATTTCAACTCAAGTCATTTTTCGTGTCTAACTAGGGTGACCACCATCAAACAAACCAAGTGTGGCACGATTACTACGTTTGTGTGGGACAATGTGTTACCAACACTAAAACATAACCTGAAACTGTTATATACAGTTTATAATACAGTTTATATACAGTCTTCTCCCTTTAAATATTTTCAGTCAGTTTAAGGATAATTTAAACACTTTTAAATCATTTACTTGAAAGTAATAGAAGAGCAGTTTCATGTGTATCCTTTTATTGTTCAACTGTTAGAGGTTGATATGGGATTTAGAAAGTAATCATTAATAAATAATGCAATACTTTTTAGAGAGTAATTAGTTCAGTAATCTAAATACACTTTTGAAGATGCAATTAGATAGTAATTCATTACTTTTTTAGAGTAGCCAATCCCCACTGAACATAATAATGGTCGGTGTATGAATGAGTGAGTGAATGTGAGGCAAAATGTAAAGCGCT